CGTAGCGGCGAATTGCCGCACAGTGCACCCTGGGAGCTAGTTGGCCACTCAGGTTCGGTTTCGACTGAGGAGCTTCAATTACGCCATCACGACGCATGACCGAATGCGCTGCTTCCGTTCTCAATTGTCCGACTTCCCACGAATGTACAATACTCGTAAGCATTCTCGAGCGATATAGAAGGAAGACTGAGGCGCTTTTTTTTTTTTTTGGTTCCCGACATGCCGGACATTGTGCCTGCGTATGCAGACGTAGTAAGACGTCACTTAGTCCCTTCATCCCCCGATTGTATCTTTGAGATTTTGTTTGCCAAACATCCGCCTCGTGTTACCTCATTGAGCAAACAAGCCCATCCTCACAGGATACTCACAGTTGAGCCCAGCGTCGGCGCATGACTGCACAGAAGTTGGTATGAAGTCGTCCTCGTGTCGTCATATATCTCCCACTAAACTTTTATGCCGATTGGAGATTACGTTTTCGCAAACGCCGAGATCGGCTAGCTACCCTAGCTAACAAGCCTCGAATACCAGAAAAAAGCTCACCGCGAAACCGGAGGATGCAGAGAAAAGCTCACCGATATGGAGGCTGCGTGATTATGCGTAACATATATCAATTTATTGTCATTAAAATTCGTCAGCTTTGTAAAAAAGAAAATGTCATTTTCTATACTATTTGTTAAACTTTTTGGGTATCCTGCTCCCAAATTAATAATTGCGGGCGAGTGTTTTTTGTGGCTTACTTTCTTGGCAACTAAAGCCTAACTGAAAACTTTATAAACTTGAAGAACAGGAAAAAGCTTGATAACTTAATAATGTACGTCTGCCTAAAGCCTAAAACTCAAAACTGTAAATGCCCAAAATTCGAAAGTGCGCACGCAACAACGCTGTGCCTGAAATTATCTTTGAAGCTTTTGTTAACCTTTGAAAACAGGATAAAACGGTCAGTAGGATATCGAGGGTTCTTCTTCCACGGACATGAACATTTTCTTTTCTAGCCGTTCGTGCTGGTGTTTCCACACGTTGCCTTTGTGTGATAGTGCCCTTCTTGCATCGAACCACCCATGGCCTTCAGAGCTGCACACTGTCACCGTTGTTACTCGTGACCTACATAAGAAGTTGTCTTCTGTAAGGTAGCGAGTAGGGCGAGTTGGTAAGCGTTTTACATGATGAAAACAGCTCAAACGACGACGACGGAGTGAAGACAACAAACACGACCGGACGAAGCTGTTCTCGAAACTAAAGGTTTGTTAGTCAAATTAACAGAAAGAGAACAGCGTAGCTGCCACTGATTACATTAGCGAAGACCTACTTATACATTAGGCACTACACAATATTTGGAGCTGAAACGGTTCACACACCGCTAGTCATATTAGCTTGCAAAAATTGAACCTCTTTATCTGACAGAGCTACCGACGGCGCACTGTCAGCTGTCGATAAATTGTTGTTTCTTTTACTGGTGTACGATGTTCTGATTTTATACTTGCGGCTTCATTAATATACAGAATGAGAGATTACTAATATCTGAGGAATTAGTAAATATGCACAATGAACTTCAAGAATATTGCAAAAAAAAAGTTGATTTATTTTTAATGAAGTGATGAATGCGAATTGTGTTAAATTGCCACGTTTGACGCAAAATCCGCCAAGTTTAAAAAAAAAATGGTCAGCCTTTCTCCGCATCTGCCGGTTTTGCGGTGAGCTTTTCTCCGGTTAGCTTATCTCCGGTGAGCTTATCTCCGTTGAGCTTATCTCCGGTGAGCTTATCTCGATGAGCTTCTCTTAAGCCTGCCCTACTCTCCGCGAATCCTTTTTGTATGAGCTTTTACCGACACCCAAGATCTGTGTCTGAACGGTGGTTCTGAAATTATCTCGGCACACTCAGTCACGAAGAAGGCAAGCACATAACAAATCGTATAGTCATTAGCAACCGCTAAATGCGCTTGGAATTTTTAAGCTAGCGCCCAGGCGAAAATTTCTAACTGGGACCAGTTGGCACCTCAACTGGTTTCAACTGGGACTAACTGGTACCAACTGGGACCAATAGGAGTCCAACTGGGACCAGCTGAGGGGTCAACTGGTTTGAACCATTCCCAGTAGGGAGTCAACTGGGACCAATAGGAGTCCAACTGGGACCAGCTGAGGGGTCAACTGGTTTGAACCATTCCCAGTTGGGAGTCAACTGTTTGACTCCCAGTTGGGAATGGAGTGAACTGGGACCAGTTAGGAAAGTAACTGGTTGGAGCGATTCCCAGTCGGACTTCAAATGCCTTTCCCGTTCCCAGTTCACACGGGGGCGGACTAAAGCCCCTTGATAAAAGCGTTTTTTACAAGTACCGCCAACCATTGTTGTGCAAGCGCTCGAGACACGTGCCATGAGCGGGTGCTCCGCCGCCATTCGCTTCCAAGGCCCGCTCATTTCAGTGCTGCGCCGCCATTTGCTTCCAAGGGCCGCTCGAGACATGGGCCTCGTGCACTCGCGCATTTGACGCTACTTGCAAGATGAGCGCAAACACATCGAGGGGCTTTAGGGCGGACTTCTTCCAAAACCGACGCGCCCCATCGCGGCGAAATACCACGCAGTGCACTGTGGGAACTAGTTGGCCACTCAGTTTTGGTTTCGATACGTGTTGTCCGCCGAACTGTGCGACATTCTTCACGCAAGTGCCCGACTGTTGCTAAAAATAATTTCGTCAATGGACAATACACACTTGCTCACCAGCAACACCAATGTAAAGTTGCGAGCTCGGTTTACGCGAACTTATTGGTTGTTGCAGCGTGTTGACTCGTGCACAAGCAAAATCCCTGCGCTTCGCAGCGTTGAGATTCCCATCAGTGGCTCGTCCACCATACCTCGAAACGCTAAAGGGGTGTCCAAACAGGACACTACAAAACCCACGACTCCGGCAAATCGTGCCGCGCTCTGCCGCGATCCGCTTCCGGCCGTCGGAGGGAAATTTCCCTCCGTCAATTCTTCCCGGGGGGAAGCTTCCCTCCGTCAAATCTCCCCCTCGCTTCCTCCACGGCGGCCTTGCTCTGCTTATCACGTGGGTCCGGAGAGCCACTCACACGCTCTGTTGGCTGTCGGTCAATTGCTCAAGGTGGTGGTGGAAAACCTCTTTATTGGTCCTGCGAAAACCCCTACCCCTCCGTCACCCCTTCACCAACACACCTACGCACAGTCTGCCGGTGAAGCAAGCGCCGGGTTCGCTGGACGAAACCCCTTTGTCCCTCCAAGTCCACACACATCACACCATCCTTGAAGTCCTCCGGCCAGTCCTGGGTCCCCGATGCCTCATGCCCCCGTTGTTCACAGTCCCACACAATATGCTGCAGCGTTGCCCGACTGTTCTTACATACCCTGCACAAGTCACTCTCAAAATTCCCTGGGTCCACATGTCTCCCCAACACCGGGGTATACACACACATCACCTGCAACTGCCTAAAAAGCACCGCATCCTCCCGACACAAATCCTTGTGAGGTTCCGGGAACCTCCTCCTATCCCGTCTGCAACATTCAAGATACTCTCCATAACCCAGCCTCCGCTCACAATACGGAACCGCATCGGACGCCATCACGACGAAAGTGAATCTCGACAAAGAAAGCAGATCCGAGGCGGGCGAAACGCACCCTTCGACGCAGGAATGTCCCAAATCCACCCAAAGCCGGACCTCCTTGGCCTTCGAGCCGAGGCGACGGCGGTACGCGAGGGCGTTGGCGAGGTGAGCCAGACGCAGGTGGCCTGTGACGTCAATCTGAAGAGGAGAGCAGTTGTGATCGTAAAAATTTTCACGACTCCGACAGACCGTAAAAATAGAAGCGTCCGCTTCAATTTTCACGATTTGTCGGAGTCGCGGGTGAAGGGTCGAGTGCAAAAATAAACATGTGTCAATAAGACAAGCTTTACGTATGGTTCGCGCTTGTGCTGAAGCTTCGAGGTCTGGCCATTTAGTTTAGTTTAGAGACCCAAAACGATGCGCTCGGGACCAGGAAACGTGAGATAACGGCTGTTGATAATCCGTGCTCTTTGTATGATTCCTTCTCGATGTGTCGATCGAAACCGAAATCATGCCGCTCTCCTCCCTGACCTAGAGCACTATATAGCTCCTACGGAGCAGAGTAACGCAAACCTTTGAACCCCGTGTTTTGCCGACAACATGGCCGACAGAGCGGCTCGGCGCGAGTCACGTGGTACTCAGGGTTCCAGGAGGCGGCCCGCCCTATGGGAGAATACATGGAGATCGACACAACACGGCTGATTAAACAATGAACGGCGAGTTCACACTTTTCAAAACTAGTCTGTCATGAAGTTAGTAAAGCACTAAACATTTTATCAAAGTTTTAACAATATCGGATGCGTGTGCAAATTTTGAGAAGGCAATTTCCAAGGCAATGGCGTTTGAAGCAGACGATTTTTCCTCGCAGCGGAGATGGGCTTTTCGGGTTGGCCGGAGCGGGTCACGTGAATGGTGTGACGTCGCCGTGTCGTCTGCTGCATAATGCCGCTCAGGCAATTTTTTTAAAAAAAGTCAGGTCCTTGCGGGGCACAAAACTTAGCGCAAATTATTCTAAAATGTTCCATTATTATGTCAAAAATCATTGCGATTCCGTACATTCGCACAATACTGGAGAAACAACGATTTTCTCGCGTTCTCCATGCATTTGTGACCGCAGTTGGAACCTCCGGGTGTTCGCCGCTAGTCGCCGAGAGGCGGCGTTCTAGATTGCGCTACTCTGCTCCGAATGACCTATGCCCTGGCCAACTAGTTCCCAGAGTGCAACGCGCCCAGTGTTGCTTGCACGGATTTATGGAAGTAGTCCCAAATCTGCGAGCGCTCGCTATTTCCATGAGCAGTGGTTATCAAAACAAGGTACCTAGGAAAGGTGGCGCAAGCTACCGCCCATTATCAAGGGTATAACAGTACAGTCCAGGTCCAGCTGCAGTCCAGGTTAGCCAGGTTACACGGCTCTGCCAGGTTCGCCAGGTTAGCATCTGTCCATCCATCGATCTTTTCTCAAAGTGTCTCGGGTGGGGCTGGGAAATGCTTGAGGATGTGAAAATGCTCCAATTTCTCCGAGTTTACCAAAGTTTCAAGGTTTCTTCACGATCAGTGTGTTCAAGAAAAGCCCACGCTGGGGCAAGCCAGTGACCCTGTCCGGTTGCAACTACGGTGAGCACGATTTGCTTCCTTTGGCCATCAGAATGTTTTCTCGGCAAACCTTGTCGTCTTCAGCATTACGGCGACAAAGCCGTAATGCTGATAGAGATGTCCTCATCAGCGAAGACCAACAATGGTCACAGATTGGACATGACGATTGCATCAACGGACGGCTCAAACTTGGCACGATGCGGAGCGCTGACTCAGTACTTATTTCCAATTCGTCCAGCGACGGCTTTCTCTGGTGCCTCAAAAGCTCAAAAGAGCCGGGTCGAGACCGAGTATCCGACCCCTCCCCGCATTAATATTTTAGAATAGAGCGTGTCACCCTTCGAAATTTTTATTATATATATATATATATATATTTTTTTTTTTTTTTTTGCAAAAATAAACTATGCATTGTCGAGTGCTTAGTTTCCGTCCAAATGTGGCCCTAGAGGTCCAAACCTGAGGCGAACGTTCCAGAACCAACCGTTATCTCGAAAGTTGTGAGTGATTTTTTGAAAGTTTCGATAGACAAATGCTGGCTGCTGGAGCCGTTGAATAAATGGAGCTGAATGGCGCAAGTTACTGAAAACGTATTTTGAACAAGATATCGGTTGGTTCTGTAATTTTGGCATCCGGTTGGGACCTCTAGAGCTACATTTGGGCCGAAACTGAGCATACAGCGATGCATAGTTGACTTTTGCGTTTAAAAAAATCTAAATTTTTTTTTAACTTACTGTATTAGGGGAGGGGCGGTTGGCTTGCTCTAAAAGTGGCTCTCATGAAATTTTAGTATGAGAAATGCACCACCTAAAGACACCTTTGTGGAAAGTTTATTTCAACACTGCCTGTTGGCTTATTTATATATTTTTTAAGCCGGTAGAGGGCTTTAGAACCCATTGTAGAATGGGGTTGAGGAGTAATAGCCTGGCATCAGCAGTGCACACATATTGCATTGTAAAGCACCTTTCCATTGTAGCAAACTGGAAATTCCAGATATCTCATTATTTCCTCAATGATTGTTCAGTCCTTTAGTACATATGCTTTCCCTTTAAATCGCTTGTAACACAAAATTTTTATTGCCATTTGTTGCTTCTGATGTTCGTAAATTGTTGATTTCTCTCATTGTGAATAATGCAGCTACCATAAGTGCCTTTAAATTCGGACAGCTGGGAGAATTATGCTCTGTGCTCTCATAGCTATCAAAGGCCTGTATGTAGCCTTTGATAGCTATGATACGTAGCTAGCCTCACAAATGCAAATAACGACAAATGAACTGTGCAAGCTGCTGCCATTGCCAGCATCTCATAGTCATTGTTCAGTTGTTGGAGTGTACATGTGCTGGCTGTCACTTGCAATAGATAGTCATACTTGAAATTTTAGAAATTTTGTGCATTTTGAGATTCATTGTGCACAGAACAAATAGCTCTTAGCACTCAAAATGACCACGCAGCAAAGCTTTTGTTCCCCTTCCCTCTTTCAAAATAAACGTAGGATAACAAAAAAAAAAAAGATGAATTTTTGATCAAAATGAATAAAATTTTCCAATGGATCCCAGAGATTTAGAGCTGATAGCAACATTATTAAATTTCTCTGATTTAATATGGAGGCATTTAATTTCATGTTGCAGCTCTAGGAAGTGGAAAACTAGACACATGGGGGAGCTGTTTCTCCTTTTCCTTAGTCTTGGATCTCCATCACAGCCCATACCAGTTGAAGCCTTATTATCTAGCTTTCAACTATTTCTGGGGTTGTCAGGTTTGACCAATCATAGGAATTTATTGTGTTCTCAATATTTTTGTTTATGTTGTCCAAATCCACTCTTAATTGCACAAACAACCCTGAAATCAAAAGGATTTGCAATGGTTTGCCCAGTGCTTTTAGTTATAAAACAAATTGTATCTAGTTTTAGGAACCTACTGCAATGACAAAGTGATCTAAGATAGTGACAGTCAAATATGACAGCATTTATTTGCTCACGTTATAGGACTGCTTTAAATTTTTTTAGGTTTCTCAACTTCTACCTGGAACAACAATGGCACACACCTGAGGGAAAAGAACTTTCAAAGGAGGAAGTACTTGCTTGTCAGAAAGTAATTGGACGTTGCCTATCACAGAGGCTGATGGACATTGCCCGTGACCACCTCGCTCGGAATGCCTGGCTACAGATATGATGGGTATTTACTTTCAGTTTTACCAAACCTACATTTATGCGTCTTTACCATTAACAAGCCATAATTTTAGGTCAGCAAAGCTGCCATGTTCATTTATCATGATGATACCATACACATGCTTTAAGGAGAAAGGGAAATAGAGACATTGATGAACTGGCAGCATGAGCATTTATTGAAGGTCCTCAAGAACCACGACGGTTGCAGCGGTGGGCTCAGTAAAGAGGGAGAGAAAAATGAGGTAGCTGACCAAAAGTGAGAAGGAGAAAAATGACCTAGAAGATGGGAAACTGAGTGCTGAGATTTAACCCTAGACCACAAAGAGGTGTGTTGTGGTTGTTGACAGAGACATGCGATTACAGGGTCTAACAAGTTAAGAAACGGGGCTTCTATGTTTCCAGGAAAACTACACATGTTAAAAGCCTTAATTATCTGCACACCTTATGCCACTAGTCATTCCGTTAGAAATAGACATTTTCTCTCTGCAATTCTCACCTCGAATAGTAGATCTCTCTCCACAACTACAGCCCACCTAGGTCTGAAGTCATTTGTCTGCCCACTTTCCTGTCTTCTAGGTCACTTCCTTCTGACTTATTCCCTCCTTTTTTTCTTACTTACCGCCCAATCTTTTCTTTCTTCAATCTTGCCGCTTAGGCAACTGTTGGCATGGGGCTCATTCCACGCCAAACATCCCAGACGTTACGCTTGACCATTTCCCATTTTAAAAAGAAAATTCATGGCTCTTTACCCCAAAGTCCGTAACCTTTTCCTAAAATACTTGGAATGAAGAGCGTGCTGGTAGGGGTAAAATATAATTAAAGGAAAAACAGAAAAGACCTTTTATGTTGTTTCCTTATTTATATGTTCCCTAAAATATTTTTGCCGAAAACATTTTTTTTACGGCGTGAGCGTGTTTTTATTTCTTAAATGGGCATACAACTAGGCATTCAATAAAGGAGTGAAAGTCTAATTTTTTTCAAAATGCCTCGGATTTTATTTTATGAAATTCGAATGGCTTTTACCTTGCTATGTTGTGATGTTTATGCAACTTTAATTGTTAAAATAGTTTTAGAAACCTCATCAAAAACCTTTTTTTTTTTGCAATTTTCTTAATCTTTTTTGTTTAATTATCGCTCTGCACCTGGTAATTATAAGTTTTTTTTGCTATTGAAAGCCCTGTAGATATTTTACAAATAAAAAGAAAATGTTTGAAGCCGCATAACGAAATACCTCATGGGGAAAAAAAATATTCTAAAGTTGTGAAAAAGTCTTTCTTTTTTTTTTTTTTTGCCTAAACATGCATTTATATTATTATGACGTTGTCAGAGTACAAATGTGAAAGATTTTGACATTGGAAGAAGAGTTTGTCTTTAATTTCTGAAAGTTTATTCAAAATAATCTTTTCTCTAAAGCAAGAAAAAAAAATGTTGAAGATGAGTTGCCTTTGTTGCAACCTGGCATTGTTTCTTAGCGCCTCTTCACCGCACTACACGCCACCTTACACGAGAGTTGAGAAACTTTGCGATCATGGAAGGCATTTGTTGGTTTAGAATGTGATTTTCGCATAGGCTTCTTTCTACACATGCACATTTTTGACTCGCAATTGCCTCACATATATTGTCACTGTCTACAGCTAAAGAGGTACCGCGGTTTGCCGCGGTCGCTTCCACTTGTCCTTCTTTTTGGCTGTAACGCACACAACAGTGGATATGGTGTGATAATCATAAACGCTGTCACTGCATAGCTGGCTTCTTTCACCCTTTGTACCAGTGTCGGCTCTCCTCACTTTGAAACTTGATGCCTAACGGCCTCACATCGCCTAAAAGAAAGTTATTCCCTCAGGAAACGCAATGTCGACCAAGTGAGATCCCTACTGGCATATTGAAAGGAATGAACCGACAGTAAGGAAGGGCAAAAAACTAGGGGTATTGTTTCGGACGACCACTAATTAGTAGCAATCGGGAATCTAGCCAAGAAATTTTAGTTTTTGTAAGAGTATGGTGACATATTGATGTATGGAGCAGGTCACTCGGCACAGGCAAGTCATCCTGCAGTTGATGCGGATGCTGATGAGGGTAAGCAGGAAATTCTAATTGTTGATGATGATTCTTTTAGAGCGCAGCTCTTAGGCGCCCGTTTCTGGCTTGAGCGGCGTCCCCGTCGCCATAACCGCGCGTTGCATTTTGGGAAAATTTTCCCGCTAAATCTAGCGGAAAATTTCCCCACTAAATCTAGCGGAAAAATTTCCCTGTTAAATCCAGCGGAAAAATTTCCCCGCTGAATCTAGCGGAAAAATTTCCTCGCTAAATCTAGCTGAAAAATTTCCCCGCTAAATCTAGCGGAAAAATCTCCTCGCTAAATCTAGCGGAAAAGTTTTCCCGCTAAATCTAGCGGAAAAATTTCTCCGCTAAATCTATCGGAAAAATTTCCTCGCTAAATCTAGCTGAAAAATTTCCCCGCTAAATCTAGCAGAAAAATCTCCTCGCTAAATCTAGCGGAAAAGTTTTCCCGCTAAATCTACAGAAAAAATTTCTCTGGAAGGCCGCGTGACCCCCACATGACCTCGGGGAGGGGGATCACGTGACCTTGGGGGTCACGTGACCTCAAGATGGGGCGGGGGTGGGGGTCACGTGACCCCTCCCCCTGGTCACGTAACCCCCCCCCCCCCCCCCAAAAAAAAAAAGAAAAAAAGAAAATGTCACCCTTAGTACCCTCCCCTCCTCCTCAAGAGCTGCACTCTGATTGAGCATTACAGGGAGCTGTAAGCGGCTTTTATTTTTTTTTTGTTAGGGGCGAAGCTCCTTAGGGGCCAGCCATGTTTGGCGTCGGGTGCTCGTGCTTCGCTCGTGAGTTCATGTGCTCACGAGCACGTGAGCACGTGTTCCTAAGGTTGTGTAAGGCAAAAAAAACAAACAAAAAAAAGCGCATCTTTACGTGGTGAATGATGTTGATTGGGGCGAAGCTCTGGTGGTGCTTGTCTGCGTAGACGCTGAGCCGCAGCATGCCGAGCCTTTCGTTCATTTTCATCCATGTCAGAAAGAGAATGGGTAGTATGGAATGTGGTTATATGCGCATTTGAGCATTTGACCGCAGCGTGACATGGATGAAAACGTATGAAAGGCTCGGCATCCTGCGGCTCAGCGTCTACGCAGACAAGCACCACCAGAGCTTCGCCCCAATCAACATTTTCACAACATTGAGATGCAGTTGTTTTTCTAAATTAGGAGGATAGTTGTATTGTGTTTACTCATTTCTAATGTGTCGCCAACTCTGTTTAGTTGCTGCGGTTCAATTCATGCCTTTTTCGAACCACCTTGACCGTAAAGAAAATTTAAGCCGCATGTCGTTTGTTCTGTTATGCTTATGCATACCTGCCAAGTTTTACGATTTTATCGTAAAGTGTCTGCTTTCCAGCGCTTTCTTGAGGTTATCGTATTAACAACAATATTTGTATAATTTTCCGCACCCCCCTGTAAAGAAAAAGATAATTTTGTTTAAGCTGCATCTCACTTGTTTACAAGTTGGGGTTGGCAACACTGGATAATGACTTGTATGCCAGGGGGCGCAAGCTACCGCTCCAGTGATGTAAGGGGTGGTATAGCCGCTACTGAGCTGAGCGTCTAACATCCATCCATCCATCTGAATCCAAAACTAGAAATCTCCTTTGTTGTGGCGAACGTTGTACGTTGTGTTACTGGAACTTTTACTCATGATCCCTTGAAACCATCTTTGCTACAAGATGGCGGGAAAAAAATACTTGCAAGTGTTTATTCCCAGCTATTTATCCGACTTTCCATTTCTGAAGACGTCGCGCAAGGGCGAAATGTTCACATTTTGTAGTCTGTCGCTGCGATGTCAACATTTCGCACGCTGGTCGCCGGGACATTCTGTCATCTGAATAGAAAAAAACACAAGGGCTCTGCAAATGTAGATGAAACCAACGAGAAGCTTGGAGGGTACTTTAGTCGATCAACGGATTACGACACAACCCGAGCAGAATGCCATTTACGACATTTTTGATTGAACACAACGTGCCGTTTACAGCGGTTGTGGAGACGTTAAAGAGCAAGAACTTTGCTCTTTATGTCTTCGTTAAACCAGGCACAGGAGAAAGAGTTTTCAGCAAAGTGAAGGAGGCACACACGCAGTTCCGCTCCTCTATGTCGAAAAAGACTCTTGAACAGTTCTTAGTTGTGAGATGCAGCCAGTCTGGAAAGTGCCATGAACAAGTGTTCGACAACAACTTCCTAAGAGAAGCATATGCTGAAACTTCCTCAGTGTTGACCCAACCTTCTACTTCTAAAGAATAAGACATTTCGTGCAATGTATGATGTGTTTGTGCCCTAGTTGAGGCATTTTTCTTAACTAAACCAAGTTTTTGAAGTATAAATCAGTTTTCGTATTCCTTCACACAATAGTAGTGTTTTTTGGCATCCCCTGTAGTATTTTCATAATTGTAGCTGGGCAAGTCTGCTTATGTGACACCTATCCGAGTGAAAGTTGTAATAGTGCATTGATTTATCTGCAGTTGACCTGGTTCACTTGCCTGTCGCTAAACCAGCACGAAAAAGTTTTTAAAGCTGAATATACCGGTTTGGATACAGTACTAGCCTATGTCTTGAGGGACCTGATTTTTATGTGCCTGCATTAAGCGAATAGTTAAGAGGGCTTTCTTTTATGTGCAGTGCCTACCATCAAGATTTCTGGTTTGTTCGCAGAAGTTGAACTTCCTCCGTGCTTTCTTGGTTCATGTGGTTGCCACAAAATCACGTAGGCTAAGAAGCAGTTTCTGATTGATGCTTAAAGACCGACCAACGAAACCATATTCCGCAAGGTAGGAGAATGCCCCTCGCACCCTCCTCTTTTCATTCTCTCCCAAAAATCATGTGACGGCAGGGGCTTCCTTTGTGTCTGCTTTTTCTGTATGGATAATCCTCAAAAAGTGTGCAATGAGCGGCTAGCTGCGAGCGCCACAACGACCTTGAGACGTCCAGGTGCAGGGGTGT